ACTGCAAATTACACAGGAAAGACAGGTGTGGTAGGAAGGGGTTTTTAAAAACTTGTGATAAACTGAACTTCTGGCAGTTTCTGTGGCACCCCATAGCCGGCTTGAGACCATTAAATTCCAGAGGACTGGGAAACCCATTAGTGACCCAGGAAAGAGCTTTTTCTCATTCTGTTGCCACATCTCTCCCTGTCATAGTACCTGTAATCCAACTACACTCTTTTAGGAGCATTATTGCTATTCTGGGAAGGAGTTAAGAGTTATAGCATCAGAAGTAAGGCCGATCCTTACCAGCAACTTCTGCCCTCATAGAGAGCACGGGACCCAGACAGGGGCCATGCTTGACAGCATCGAAATAGGCAGTGCCTCCATTTCAAGCTGACCCTCTTCTCATATTTCTTATTCATTCTCTACCTTTAAGTCAGCCTAATACAAAGAGTATACAAAATAAAACATTTTTTAAAGCCCTCAAGGAGATTTGTACCATGAATTTTATTAGGTTGGAGGCAAAACAAGCTGATACTAGCAGAAAAAAAATGGCTGCTTCAGACCCCAGCTGACCTCTTTTGCATGGAAAATTCTCCATATGATTACAGAGCTAATGAGTAATATTTAATGAAAACATTATGCCTTTGCATATATTTGTAAGCAGCACTTCTCCCATTTAAATTTACATAAAAATAAGCTGATATGTATAAATATGCATCTTGGAAATCTGTGTACTTTAAGCAAAATACTCATCTGCTGTCTCTGGCTACTTTTATACAAAGCCCAAACTTCTCAATGAGAAAAGTGTAGAATTCAGTCAATCATCTGGTTGACACCAAACATGCAGGCCAGCATTTGATGATGTGGAGGATAAAACAGCTAAACTCGAGGCAGACTCATCCACATATCACAGAATGTTTTGGCTTTATGAAAATAACAGTGTATGAGAAAAGGACTGGCCTAAACAATTGCTAAATAAATACATGTCAAAAAAAATCTTTCTCTTTCATTTTCAAGAATCCTTAGGCATTTGAGGATAAAGACTTAGAACCAAGATTGTGTCTGGAGGCTGCATTTATTTCCTTTCCTGCTCAGACTCTGAATCACAGTGGAGCTGAATTTGAAAATGGAAAGCTTGTGACACCTTTCTTTCTCACTCTTTCTCTTCCCCCCTCTAGGTGGAGCTGACAGGCAGTAGCGTCTTTGACTATGTCCACCCCGGGGACCACGTGGAGATGGCAGAGCAGCTGGGCATGAAGCTTCCGCCTGGGCGGGGTCTCCTCTCACAGGGCACCACTGAGGACGGAGCCAGCTCAGCATCTTCCTCCTCCCAGTCGGAGACCCCTGAGCCAGGTGGGAATTGCAGTCCCAACGTGTGGGTTGGTAGACAGGACCTTTGCCAATGATTGCACTCAAGTTGCCAGTGTGAAGAGACTATAAATAGGTCTAATGGTATTTAACAATTCCATGCAGCTTTCTGTCCTGCGCAGTAATTAAATAAGGAAGAGATTTGAAAATAAGGAGACATTTTAATAAGTATAATCCAGAGATCTAATTTCAGTTGAACAATACATGTGGAAGGCACGAGTTCCTTTAGTTTCTCTGTCAAATTACTGGAGGGAAAAGGCTCAGGTTCGGAAAGCCCTCTTCCTTTTATTGTCACCGTGGCTAAATGTAATGCATTTGTTTATTATTCAGCAAAATCTATCGCAGAGACTTTTTGCATATTGGCTCGTGGAGAATTAAAAGTATTAGGGACTTTCAGAAATCTCGGTTTCTTTTTTAAGCATCAGAAAGTACTTGGAAGATGTGAACAGATAAATTAAGGCTAAAAAGAAAACAGAAATGGCTACATTTTAAACTGCCTTTCCACCCTCAGTATTTAATTAGATCAATTGTATAGAGGAATGAACAGAGGTGACATTCCTCATTGGGATTCCTTCCAGGACTCTTATAGACTTTGCATTCAGAATGTTCCCATTTTCATTGTGTTGTACTGATGATAATTTAAGTATTAGGGGAAAATCCATTTATAAATTAAACAAAATGACTTGATATCCATCAGTCCCCTAGTTCATCAAGCTGTTCAAACACGGGGAAGATTGGCTGGTCGGCCTGGGTCTTCCGAGAGCGCTGGTAATTAGATCTGCGAAGGATTTATTCTTTGCTGATTGGGGCTTTAAATTAATTGAAGTTCCACATTTGTGGTTTTGTCCTTTTTGTACTTTTTTAGAGGAGATATTTCATATTCTTGTGTGGTGGAGTGCTTGGCCAAGCAGCAGTGGTTTAAATGTTAATTTTTCTCATGAGAAGTTTAAGATTTTTAATGAATCAAGGCCTGATTTGAAGTGCAAAGTTTTATTTGCTTACTTAGGAAATTATTTTTGCACTTTAAAATGCTTATACTTTACCTGATATGTTGTTTGAAAACGGATTCATACCACAAACGCATTTTATAGAAAGAAAAATGGAAAAACCTACCTACAGATTACCATTAAAATAATTCTACATACTTCTAAGAAAATACTTTAATTTGACCTGCTTAGAAATAATCACGGTGTGTTTGCTCACACAGAAGGGAAAACATATTTGCCTCTTTTGGAAATACTCCATCTAGAATCAATCTGTGTTTCCTCATTTAAGTTAGCTGCAGCTTGTAGGGCATGATCCTGTAGCATTGATGAACATCCTTCTCCAGTGAGCCCCATGCATGAGAAAAGAATATTTAAGACTAACCTTTACCATATAAAAATGAAAATTTTGTTGGGGAAGGAGGGTCACATATTCTAATACCCTAGCTCACTGACTTTACCGAATAGATATGTCAGTGAGATTGCTGGAACTGCTTTCTTACTCATTAGATGTTCACCTCTGGGCATATTTGAGAAGCAGCACACGAAAATAGTTTTCTTTTCTTTTCATTCCGAAGTTGGATTGGGGAACCTGGGCTGCTCATGACTTTTAAACACGCAGTGTAAGAATTCAAGTTTATAAACCTTTGTATGAACCAAGGCCTTGGAAAAGGGGGCTTTGTTTCCCTGAATCACAAACTCTCAAGTTAAGAAGGATCTTCAACAATCCTTTTATCCAACCTATGCAGCCATCTCTTTAGAGCAAAACCAACAGATAAGCAAGTCTCTGCTGGAACTTGCTCCTGATAGTAAGCTAATGTACGGGCTTCCCACTCCATTGTCGAGCAGTTCTAATACAAAGTTATCCCTAATTCGGAGCCAGAGTCTTCTTTGCCTTAAATTCCCCGCTCTGATCCAAGCTCTGCCCTCTGGGACCACATTTCACATTTACTCCATCCTCCCCTCTCAAATATATGAAGTCAGGTACACCAAGTCCTCCCTTCCTCCCACCCTCCTTCCCAGGTCAAACAGCCCTAATTCCACAACCATTATTCAATGGCACTTTCCTAAGACCCTCACTGCCCTTCCCGGCTGTGTTTCAGTTTGTCGGTGATCCTCGAAAATATGGTTCTAAGAACTGAGTGCAGCCCTCTAGATGTGTTCCGACTAGTACAAAGCAGAAGAACTGTCACCTTTCTCAGTCTAAGCGACTATACTTCTGTTAATGCAGCCTAAGGTTGAATTAGATCCTCTCAGCAGCCAGTTCACACTGTTGATTCATATTGAGTTTGATGTCTCCACAAACACGCTAAGGGTGATTTGTCGCTCAGAAGAGACTTTGATAGAGAGGGGGAAAAAAATCCATGGCCCGTAAACCAGTTCTACTAGGATATCTTAAGCTCGAGTCAAAATCAAACTGGTTTAGGATTGAGTGTAAGAACTCGGATAAACCCCATGCCTTCTGTGAAGCACCAGTATGCACAAAAGTCTAGGTGCACTGTGAGAACTCAGTCCTCGCTGAGAGTCCTTAAATTCTGGATTTTAGAATAACATATCTCCTTTAAAGTTACTCTGTCATTTAACATTGAAGTGCGATTGAAAATTTACCTGGGTTTCTTTCCCCTGCCTTCGCAGCCTTCTTTGAGCCATCTTAACTAGTAAAATTGAAAACTCTGCTTCTACATTTTTTAACAACTTGGGCTCCTTAGCAACAATCGCTAGAGAAGGGTTTCTCTTCCTTGATGGAGAGTGTCCCTCTCACCATTAGAGAACTTACTTTGCTTTAAAAGTATGTCGTGTGGGTTATTTTCAGTCTTTGGCTCGAAAAGGCAATTAGATTGACTGTTCAAATACAGAAAAGCAGTGTAGGGTGCTACCTTTTAACTAAATATCTCTACTAATGCAGATCATTGCTCCAGGGGAATTACTTAAAAGTTCATGTCAGGCACTACATCCCAAAGCTGCTTATGTTTCTTAAAAGCTAAAAGAATTTTAACAAGATTTCCTAATTCTTAATAACACGAAAGAACATTTTCGAAGACTGTTGTTCATTACATCATAATCTTTTAAACTCTGGTAAAACAGATTCTTTTTTTAAACAGTAGTGTAATTTGGTTGGGAAAGGGATATCAATATGTGGTGATTATGAAAATGAAGGGACTAGTAGGTATGAAATTTTTCAGAAGCCCTGATGTGTTCAGTGTAGCATTACTAAATGGCTGGAATCCAAATAACATTTGGCATTATAATAAAAGGAAATAAGTGACTAAACCAGCCTAAGAGGCAGTGATACTGTGCCATAATAGGAATTCTGTTTCTTTGAAATGCCGGCCCTGTGACTATCTTGTCTTGAACCAGTTTCAAGGTAATGAGAAAAAAAAAATATATATATATATATGTGTTGACTGGACAGCAAACCCATATCAATATTTTATATGTATGCACATCTATTAATAGTTTAATAATATGATATTCCTTTCGGAGAAATCTTAAGGCAGGCATAAGAAAAATAAATGGGTGACCTTGTTTAAAAAATTACAAAGTTCGAACATGCCAGTTTAGGGGTCGACCCAAACATTTTAGAAGAGACGGCCCTGTCCTGTCATGCGGGCTACAGGAGCACAGAGCCTCTGGAACATGATGTCCGGATGGCTTGTTGTCTTTTCATAGATCTATATATACCTTTTCATTACGTCTAAGGATTCTGTAATCTTGGGTGCTACAGAATCTAAGGATTCTGTAATTATGAGTGCTATCCTCTTCTTTTAATAAATTTTGGTGCCACATTTTTTTTAAATGCTTAATAAACAGAAAAGCAGCTCCTTCAAGAAATTCTGGAGGAACTTTTAACATCTCCCTATTTTGAAAGCAGAGAGTAAAATTCTTTAGGTGAGGTCATAAAATTGTTGTTTTACTCCAGTTGTTTTTTTCCAATTATAAAATTAATTCATGCTCATAAAAAAAGCATTAAAAAATCAAAAAGAATACAGAAAACAAAGAATAAAAACCAACATCCCACTACTCGTGTGTATATATTATATATCTATCCTCCTAGATTGTTTCTGTTCCTAGATACATACAGGAACAGAGTGGGAGTTTTTTGGTTTTTTGGCTAAAATAAGATCATAACATACATGCTTCTGGTAGCCTGCTTTTCCACTTGATCTTACAGGCAACTTTCTCTGTCATGTTTCTCACTTTAACATAAAATTTCCTTTCTGTCTCCAGTGGTTTGTTTCCCACTAGCTAACAGTCAGCCCCCAGCTGTAGGACCACTGTTAGGAGGAACGTACCTGGATCCTGCTTTGCAGGGAATTCAGCCAGGACAAGAGGTTCTTGCAACTTATTGAATGGGTACGAGCTCGTAGAGGGAGAAATCAATACTGCACCAGGATTTAGACAATTTAGCAAAATGTATGAGACAGTACTTTTGGTGAAGAATAACTACAGCAGCATGGTTAACCATTTGTTGTCTAAAATGAGGTTATTGTGTTTTGTCTAAAGTTTCAGGCAGGTCTAGCTTGTTATGGGGGGGCGGTGAAGATAATCACGGTGGTAGTATGATCTTTATACTATTACACCTACTCTATGTCCTGAATATTTTAAAGTTAACGAAATTAAAGCAGCTGAGTACTTGCCTGAATGGAAATGATCTGCATTTTCTACATATGCCTCTGTGCTATGGTAAATTTGATCAGCTCCTGATTCTATAGGAACTCAATTCTGAAATTAGACAATTTTCACAAGTGATATAATTAGAGGAATAAATGTTTAGGAATAACAGTAAAGAATATAAAAATTTATCTAAAGATCAGATCAACATTTTGTTTCAAAAACTGCTCAGATATGAGATACACTTGTACTTTTATGGGTGAATTATTTACCATTTAATATAGGGTTGTCGAAGGAGTAGGGTTCTGTGATTTTTTTTTTTTTTTTAATATTGGTTCAAGTTTCCTATCAATGAAATGAATTTAGAAGTCAGGCAAGGAAGACCATCTT